CAGGAGTGGCCACATGAGTCATTTTTGTTGGTGTAACGCATCCCCAGTGACTGATTCAAGGATGGACACGAACATGACAGAAATGGTGAGAAGTGAAGTAGAAAGAAGGCCATTTGGATTCATCTGAAACACACAAAATAAGAGTTCCCCGAAGAAAGTAATTCTATCACCCGAAAGGCGTAAGGGAAAGCATTTGGGTAAATAAAAATTATAGCTATCATAATCTACTGCAAGGAAACAGTGTGTCTAGTATCCCTTTCCCATCTGGCAAACTCCTACTGCTCCATGATCTATCCTAAAATTCGCCATCACTGTAAAGTCTTTCTGGCTCCCCATGGCAAAAGTTGTTGTTTCCCTTTCTAAGTTCCTATAATTTCATGCTCAATAGCAGGTGTATGAAGTTATGTCTGGATTCAAATTCTAGCTTTTGCCACTCAGTAATCATGTGCTATTTAACCTCTTTGAAGCTGACTCATCTTTAAAATGGGCGTATCGATATCAATCTCCAAGGACTGTTGCTGGGACTAAAGATATCAATATGTAGTGATTGGAGTGTCCTAGGCACTCAGATAATGTTAGTGTCGCTGCCTCTTCCCCAACCCATGCCACATTAGAATGAAGAATTGTTTTTACTCTTCTGTGTTCCTGGCACCTAGGTAGAACTTGGCATACCTCTGGCTCATGAAAAATGTTTGATAATGGATAAATATGGAAAAAGGGATATTGTGCTGATGGAGAAAAAAAATTACCTGTAGTAAAGCTAGTGCACACAGGATTTGTTCCTCTGGTAAACTATAAATTCCCAGAGGATAAGAGGCATATTGTGCAAATCTCTGTGTTATCCCTGCCATAACTTAACAAAAGGGCTTTGCTGGTGAGAATTTTTTATTTTTATTTTATTATTATTTTTAAAATATATTTCCTCCACTTTTAAAAAAATATTTTTTTTTGCTGATTTCAGAGAGAGGAAGGGAGAGGGGGCAGAGAGAGAGAGAGAGATCAATGCTGGGAGAGTCATTGATTGGCTGCCTCCTGCATGCCCCCTACTGGGATCGAGCCTGCAACCCGGGCATGTGCCCTGACTGGGAATCGAACAGTGATCTTCAGGTTCATGGGTTGACACTCAACCACTGAACCATACCAGCTGGGCAAGGTGAAAATTTTTTAAAAAGCCATGAGATTAGAGAGCCCCAGGATGGGTGAATTTGGGCAACCCTTCCTCTGAAGTCAGTCTTATAAAGTATGTGGCCATCCTGCCCTCTGGAAATTGCAGATTTTTCTCAAAATGTCACTTAAATAGATCTTCCCTTTAAGAGCTATACCTAGAGCCCTGTTGAATCTTGAAAAAGTTTCCATATGTGAAATGTTTTGAGAAGCTCTTCTAAAATTCCTAAATAACAATTTATAAAATGGTGACCCAGGAGATAAAAACACAGTTTTCCCACTGTTCTTCATTTCTTTAAATGAGGAAATTGTTTTTTAAAAGCAACCATGTGTATTGCCATAACAGTATACTCATATTTATTAGGCAATTGACAAGAAAAACAACTTTTGGCACAAGAATGCCAATTTATTCTTTTTTGGACACATGAACACAAAATATCCCTGCAGGCCAAAAAAAATTACAAAATTTAAACCACCATCATCTTACCTCAATATGGGGCTACCACCCCTCCCTTAATAGTTTAGAAAGTACCTCGTATTGCTAGAGACATACATCCAGTCCAAATTTAATAAAATACATTTTGAAACATTACAGGTCTAACAATATAGAAACAAAAATTACACCATTAGTCAAATGAGCAAATGCAAACATTTTCAGCTACTAGACACAGAAAGAGCATGAACATGTCAATAGCAAGGGATAAGAAAATGGTAAATCAATAACAAGATCTTCCCTTTCATTTTACAAGGAAAAATCCTTGGAGTTGAAGCCATATTGATACAATGCCCTCAGCCTCCACTTTCTTAGAATGAAAGCAGAGTTACCGCCTTGCTATCGGGCAAGAAAATCTTACAGCACGTTAACAAAGGGTCGCTAGGGCAGGGTGGAGAGGGTGAGCCTTATTAAACAGTGGATTACCCTTTCCCACAGGACGGGCAGGTAGCTGAGCCAGGTAGCTAAGCTCTGATATAGCATGGGCACCAGATCCTAAAATACAGACCATATAGAACATGTCTGCTTGTAAGTCATCACCTTTGGAAGCAGCATCTAGAATTTACAGTAAAAATGAGTAGGTTCTGCCTGCCTAGAACTAGCTGCATTAAGCCAGCTAGTTCTCTTTATAAATTGCTCAGGGTTCAACAACTAACAAAACATAACTGGTTCATCGTTTGGATCTTCACCACTCTCTTAATGTCCCCGCACCTTGTCCCCAAATTGTTACTCTTTAGCATTGCTACATTTAAATCTTTCACACTACATGACAGTGCCTAAACAGGCTGCATTTAAAAAAACCAAGCATCCTACACCTACGTCTAGAGAATGCACACCTCCCATTGATTGACACATGCATAACGATTCAGTCAGTCCAGAGCGTTACAAATTCAAATTGTCAAGCCCAATTGAAACTACGCATTCAGACTTGCTTGCAATAGGATTGCGGCAACTCTGATTCTGCAGTGATTACTTCTTAAAGATTCATCCCTCAGCAAGTTTTTTTCAATAATCCCAGTTCTTCCATATTTCTTTCCTTTTGTCCAAAATGACAGCGTTGCACCATTAAAGGTACGGTTTTCCTATAAAAATAGGCCTCCCGGCGTTTCCTCCACCACCACACTCATTTGCCCCAGTGTGCTAGGACTGACTGAGGTCGTACAAACCGTAGAGTTCAAGGTCGAGCGTTTAGCCCAACTGCAGGCAAGTGAATCAGGGCTTCCAGGCACTCTGCCTTGCTCCCTGCTCCATTCATGCCAGGAGATGGTGAGAAGTGACGCTGCTTCTGTGCGTTAGAAACAAGCAAGCCCGAGGCACTCAAGTGCAGGTGTGGTGCCCGCTGGCCGGCCAGCCAGCCAGCCACCAAGAGTTCTTCACATCCAGGACTCCAGTGAGACCTCTTCCTAAAAAAAGTTTGTTTTTCCTCCTCTTGGGTCCAGGGTGGCCACGCTGACGGGTATTTTCTGTGCTCTCCCTGAACAAGTGTGAATAAAAGCAGTAGCCAGCCCCTCACCAACATGTCCTGATTTGTAGTATCCAAGTGAGGTATTTGCAAAAAAGGAAAATCTTAAGAAATTAACATCTGCCATTTCTTCACCATGTGCCTCAATTACAGAGCTTGCTTTCATCTCACTGTACGCAGAGAATAAAGGATGTCTAACCCATCTTAATGCGCTACAGGAACTCGATACACATTATAAAACTCTCAGAGACCAGTCCCAGCAAACAGTGGTGGCGCCGCTGACCGACAGCACATAGAAATGTAAACTTCAATGTATTTACAAGCTTGTCTAAAAGACTGAAGGAAAACAGGGCTTTATATTGCTGGGATTTTGAGAAGGCTAGTTTAAAAGATTTGGACCAGCTAATGAGTTCAAGCAAACACCCTTCACCATCAGATCCAGTGTTTCCAGGCAGAGGCGGCAAACGCCATTTACCACATTGTATCTATCTCTTCCCCCAGCACCTTCCTCATCCACGTGGAGTCTGGCTCTGGGCCTTTTATCCCCGTTTCCAGCTCTCACTCCTGAGGTTCCAGGAAAGAGAATTACCTGTCAGTGAAATTGGGGCTGGGCAACACTGGCTGGAACTACCGAGACTCTATGTAACTGTTGTCCATTCACAAAGTATTATCTACACTAAATACAAAATACATTTCCCCCTACTTGGTAACTGATGCTTGCTTTAGATCGACTCCCTTTGTGTGGACAAGAAAGGAATTCCGTCTCCCCGTGAATGGAATCCAGAATCTAAGAAAAATCAACCTTTGTATGCAGCTTTACTTTACTCAAAGGAAGGAAACCTCACCAAGTACATTACATTTCAGGTTGAAAGCACAAAATTTGATTTGCACTGCGAGTAACTGTGTAAGTAACCTTGATTCCCAGGAAAATGTTTAAAATGCTGGTACATTTTTGCAAGTTGCAGCATCACTCAATGTACCTTAAGGATCGGCAAAGCCTATCCAGTAAGGAAGCATCCTGGTTCTAGCTTATTTCAAAACAAAGTGACAGGACACCAACTATGACTATAAAACAGATAAAAAATAATTCTTTAAAAACGCATGGAAATATATGTCTTTTCTGACTGATTTCAGAAATTGCCAGATTATGATCTATAAGAAATAGTTGATAAAATTATACACAAAATTTCATCTAGAAAAACTCATTGTCAGTGGGGGTGAGGGGAGTGAAGGGACCTTAAAAAATGCTTATTGCCAAAGTTAACTTTCTGTGAGAAAAGCTTAAAAATCATTTAGATCTGACAAACCACACAGCAGCATAAAATGGGCACTTTTGAGAAGTCTGAAATATACTAAAAGCTAATTGTTTTTCCAAAGGGGGAGGGGGGAAACATGGGTACTTTTGACCATGGCAGTGTTATCTGTCACTGTGACAGGCATTACACCTGTTTGTATTACACATTCACAAGAGTCAACCAGATAAGAGAACTGCCTATTTGAATCTGGAGCCAAATATAGTGCAATTGCCTGGCAGCCTGTACTTGCACCAGCACAAGTCTGTATAGATCAGTAAGATAAACTAGTAAAACTAATAAAACTCTGTAAAACTTTCAAAAAATTAATGCTCGTTAAAGGCATTTACAGTGGCGAAGTCAGAAATCTCCTTTAAAAAGTCTATGGACCCACACAATTAAATAGTTACGCTAAACTGAAGTAGACTGTTTGGTTTTCCTCTCCCACTGATGCACACATCCCGCTTGATGATACAGAAAAACGGAATAATCTTCTCTTGTAAGACTAGAAGGATGCGGTGAACACCGCAGCTAGCAAAATATTCCATAGAAATCTTTCTTGTGAAGTCCTTTAGAAAGTTCGGGCTGACCAGCCTTTGCACGTTGAGGTAAAAATTCAGTCCAGTGCATCAGAAAAGACAAGCTATGAGTATCTATTACTTTAAAAAAATGGCTCAATTTTGTTGATGCATCAGACAGTGCTGCGAAGTATTTATTCAGTGCAACTATTCCGAGCTGCTGGTAGGAGACAAACTGAAGTCAGCTTGGCTCTCTAGTACGCTGGTAGGCATGTGAAACGTTTTGAGGCTGCATGGGGTGCCAAATGGGTTGAGCTCTTCTGAGACGCTCAGGCAAAATACATTGTGTGCTGGGTATCGTGGTGGATTTGCACAGCTTTAGCCAAGGCCTGAGGATCTCGGCCGTTGCTCTGTCCTGACACATGACTGCCTTCTGCACTGTAAAGAGAATAAAGAAAAAAAGAGACAAACAAAAAAACCCAGGTGTAATAAAAGACCATGTCAAACTTCACATGTTTCAAATAGCACAAGTAGTACTGGATACAAGATCTTAGGCTGGTCAGTGCCTACTTGTCTTTAGGCTTCGGTCAAATGCCATTTTCCCCAAAGAAATTTTCCCTGACTCCAAAGTTCAGATCAGTGCCACCTAGAACATACTTCCAAGGAACCCTCTACTTTTCTTTCATTTGAAAGAAACACAATTAAAATTAAATTAGTAATTGGATAATTATTTATTTCCCCACAAGGACATAAACTCCAAGAAAGCAGCAACTCTGTCTATCTTGCTCACCACCAAATCTCTAGTAGCTGGCATATAGCATAGCCTCAATAACCATGTGTTGAATAAATGAATGGATTTATGTGCCTAGCATGGCGCTGGAACATAGTAGATACTCAGCAAATGTTATTATGCCACCAATTTCTTCTTCTCTTCTCCTCACTAGCTATATGACCTTGGACAAGTAACACCACCTTTGAACTTTGGTCTTTTAGGATAACAATAGCAACTTCTAAACAAACTTCTTAAGGGTACTGTGTGCTATAAAGGACTTGGTAAACTGTACATCGTCATTCCTCTTCTGACTTCTCTCACCCATTCACACCCAATTAACTGTTTAGTACTGTCTATTTAATCCCAGGAATAGCTTTTTACATTTAACAAAGATAATCTTGCTCTAACATATTTTTCCAGCTTCATGCCTGCTGGTCCACTTTCATATGTTTCAGCCAAAGAAAACTTGCTATTGTCCAAACATGTCACTTGCTTTTTCTTCTTTGTGTCCATTGTCCCCTCTGCCTGGAAAACCCTTTTCTCTTCTTTGTAGAGCCAAATCCTACCCATCCAGCCATGCAATCTTCTCAAACAGCCTTTCCTGTGATGTCCCACTGCATATTCACCGATTTTCCTTTGAGATAACTGTCAGTTCTATGTGTACCTGTATTGTCTCCCATACTGAAACATAAAATCCCAGGAAATATGTCTTCCTCATTTAGTATTTTTAGTACTTAGCACAGTGCTGGGCACACAGTCAATATTAATAAATGTGTTCAATGAATGTATATTATGGAATGGAAGATACAAAGTCATAGCTGGGCATTTTCCATAGAGTATCTTTTCAACCCTTACAGAAATAGATCTGCAGTGGAATGTCTACTATTTAGCAGCTGAATTTGGATTTGGGGAAGAGCCCAGAAACTGCTACACTTCACAGATGGTCATTTGGAAAAGAAAATTACTGTAGGGAACTTGTTTAGCTATTTAATAGTAACTCAGTAATGGGTCAAAATGTCTCATTCTCTTGAGATCCCTATTTGGGGGTGAGAATGGTATGACACACCTCTCCTACACACACACCCAGGTTCACTCTAGTGCATTCTTCCAGACTGAACTGAAAGAAAAGTGAACTGGTTAAGACTTTCCCTTGTATGAAGTGGAACTCACAGGCCTGTGACTCTTCTGATTGGAGCCAGGGCACTGTGCTGGCCACCTTCTGAGGCTGCTCAGGACCTGAGCAGAACTGAAATGCATTTGGCTCTATAGGAAAACCACAGGGAACTCCAAGTTAGATTCCCTTCCTTGGGGGCCGACTTTAGACACACCATACAAGTAAGTATAAACAGGCCTGAACACTTCTTGGACCAAAAGTCCATTATAAGCTCTCAAAGGCACATGCAATTTTATTCACTGCTTGCAATTTAAACCTTAAAAGGAAGACTAACTCCTCCAAAAAGTTTTCTGTAGCAGCTCTTTTCTTTCTTTTTAACATGCTGCTAATATAGACAGAAAGAGATTTTCTTGTGCCTGAGAAACTTGCCTGTCATGATCTTTATCCACCAGATGATACCTTGCTCTGAATGCTACAAGCCGGGCATAATATGCAGGGGCTGGAATAGAGACCGAGCGAGTGCACCGCACGTAGGTGTGACATAGCTGGTAAGTCAGTAGCTGGAGCTCGTCTGCGGTGAAGCAGTTGTCATCCCACAAGACCTGGTAATGTGAAGGACGACTGGTTCCCTGGAGAGAGAGCTTTATGATTAATATATCCCTGACATGGGTTGACTACGTATTTACAATGAAATAAATTAAATCTTGCTATTTGGTCAACAGCAAGAACTGAGAGAAGAACTGAAATCTACTCCTTAAACTCAGAAGTATTCCTGCTTAGCACACCTACAAGCAGATACCCAGACCAAAAGATAACAGTTCTAGGATAAGAGCATTAACAAAGTGAAACACGGTGACATGGTGAATATAATGACAAGTCTACTCAGGCTAGTTGCTGACTCTGCAAACATCTCCCTATCAAGTCAGAGATCTGGACCCGCTTCCAAGTTACCTGAATTCCCGCGTGACTACAGAGGTAAAAGTCGAACTCGGATGGATGCGTGATGGTGCTGTCCACGGTAGTGCCCGCTGGAACATTGCCGCTTTTACCCACCTACCAAAAAAAAAAAGTGTAATTAGTCACCAATATGACAAACTGAGCTCAGGCCATTTTTTTTTTTTTCCTTTTATGTTAATTGGTCACAAGTTAGTAAGCTGCTCTTGCAAACCAGTTTAATTCAAGATGTTGAACTTTCATATACATACATATATATATGTATGTACCTTTATTGATTTCAGAGAGAGGAAGGGAGAGGGACAGAGAGAAACATCAATGATGAGACAGTCACTGATCGGCTGCCTCCTGCACACCCCCTCCTGGGGATGGAGCCTGCAACCTGGGCCTGTGCCCTGACCAGGTATCGAACCGAGATCTCCTGGATCCTAGGTTGATGCTCAACCTCTGAGCCATGCCTGGCCGGGCAAGATATTGAACTTTCTATAACTTTCTCTTAGCCCAACCATTTCATCCATATGTATTTTCTCAAACAAATATACTCCATGGTTTCCCTAGGGAGATCCAGACAAAGAATTATTTTAACCAGTGGCTTTGGGCTAAATTTTTGTTCTCTATTTACAGATGATATGCTGGTATGTTCACAGAAGAAGACATTTAAGATGGGTAAGCTTCCTGAGGAAAATCACTTTTATTCCTTATTTGGGATTTTTAAAAAATCCATAACCTGCAGTAAAAGTTAAGCTGTAGAACTCTTTGAACTGCGGTTCAACAAAACTAATATTTTTAGGGGATCAATAAAAGAAGACACTGGCATACCCATTATCAGGAAGAGTGCACTGAAATGGGATCGGGAACCAGAGTTTCAGATCTAGGCCTAGCCTTCTAACTACCTTCCTTGAACAACACATAATATCTTTGGGCTTTGATCTAATCAGCTATAAAATTAGGTAATGATCTCTTACACTTTAAAAATTCTAATGTTCTTCTATGGCCAGAACTCTATAATCAGACTTCTAGAAAGGCAGAGGGAAGACTTCAGAAACATGTCTACAAGGAAAGAAATTAAATCTTGCTATTTGGTCCTAACTGGTTTGGCTCAGTGGTTAGAGTGCTGTTCCCCAGACTGAAAGGTCCTGGGTTCGATTCTGCCAAGGGCATGTACCTCGGTTGCAGGCTCGATCCCTGGCCCTGGTTGGGGAGCATGCAGAAGGCAACCAACTGACGTGTCTCTCTCACATTGATGTTTCTCTCCCTCTCTCCCTCCCATTCTCTCTTTCCCTTCTACTCTCTCTCTAAAAAGCAATGGAAAAAATATCCTTGAGGGGAAAAAATCTTGCTATTTGGTCAATTTTCATTCTCTTTTGCTGTACAGCAGGGTTCCATATGAGGAATTTTATTTAGCATGTAGGCACAAATTTGATGGGAGTTTATTTGGCACCATTCTATCTGTTGTTACCTTTAGGATCATACACCAATGCATATAAGTGCATCTATGAATATAGAAAAGTCTCATTCCATCAAATTCAGATGTGAACTTGGGATCCTAGCTGAACAAGAGGCAATGTAACTGAGTTAAAATGGTTCTAGCACGGATTCCCAAAGTGTGCTCTATAGGAATATTAGTCCTGCAGGATATATTTGGGTGTTTTATGGTCAAATAAATTTGCGAAATACTGAGCTGAACCAAATTGAAACAGGCTTTTCCATTGTATGAATTCTTAGAACCTTTATTTAATAAGGTATAATCTTTAAGAGGGAGATGGAGTGTATACCATTTCCCAAACTTATTGGACCAGAGAATCTCTTTTTAAAAAAAATATCTTGGAATCTATAGATGAGAGCCTAAAGAGGTGATGCCCTGGGGAAAGGGGTGTCTAGGCATGTTCAATTCAACAATTATTGCTTGAGCACCCATGTGCAAGGCTCTGCAGCAGATGCTGGGGAAGAGAGACAGAGGCCCAGGGAGACCTAATGAACATGCCTTCCTGCCTTTCATGGAAACCATATACAATGAACTGCAAGCTACGTGATAAGGGCATTATGGAAGGTCCTGGGAAAAGCTCGTGGGAGGAAATAGTGGAGTTATGCCTTACAGGATAAGCAGCTGTTGAAAGGGGGCCTGGGATGAAAACAGGAAACTCTCCAAACGTCCCCACAAGACAGGAACGGATAAACAAACTGTGGTTCATCCGTATTACGAAATACTACTCAGCAATAGAAAGGAACAAAGTACTGACACAAGTGCATTATGCTAAGTAAAAGAAGCCAGTCTCAAAAGCTATGAGAATCCAGTTAGGTGACATTCTGGAAAAAATAAAACTATAGGGACAGAATACATATCAGGGGTTGCCAGGGACTAGGTAAAGGAAAGGGCTGACTACAAGTGAGAGAATTTTTGTGTGTGACTCTTCTCTATCTTTACTGAGGTGATGGTTACACGACTACATGCATGTGTCAAATTTGCAGAACAGTACACTAAAAAGGGCGGATTTTACTGTATCTATATTATACCTTAATTTTTTTTAATAAAGGAAAAGCAGAGAGGGGCTGGATGAATGTGGTCGTTCTGGGGATAAAAATGCACAATGCACATGGGAAATGGAAGGCATGTGAGGGCATGGTGAAAGATGGAACTAAAGTGTTATGTTTTGGCTAACTTGGGACAACACTGAACAGCACAGGAGAGCATCTGGTAGGCAATGGGAAGACATGAAGATTTCTGAGCAGCGGAGTGGCAGGGTAAGATCTATATCCTGGAGAATGCATTTGGGGAGCAATAAAGACAGGGAGGCCGTTAGGAGTCTCCTACAATACAGGCGAGCTCTGCCTACGGTGGAGGGAACACGTAGGAGAAAGAACTTAGACGAGAGATTTCAGGGCAGAGCAGAGGACTATTTGACCAACTGGACATGGGGGGGACAAGAAAGGAGGAGAAGAGTTTAAAGACAACTCTGACATTTCTAGCTTGGCTAACTTAATACACAGTCATGCCAAGTAACACGAGAAAAAGAAAACCGGGGGAGGCACAGGTTTTGGGTTAGGATGAAACAGTCGGTAAAAGGTTGAGACGCGTTTTGCTGGAAACGCCGGTGGCAGAATGGATGGCTGGTGCCAAATATTCTCATGCGCCTCCCTAGGGAAGGATTATACTTCCCCACCCAATTAACTCAGGAGTGGCCACGTAACTGGCTTTGGCAGATAAAATGTGGCCTGAAATGTGTTACTTCTGGGCAGAAGCTTTAAGAGTCCGCCGTAGGGTTTGCCGTGTATCTCTTTTCCCCTCTGCTACAATGGCTGGCAATGTTCCAGACGGATGTTTCTCTGTCAGCCTAGGTTTTCGGGGTTGCAGCTGCTACAGAGTCACAATGAATGTGTAACATGAGCAAGAAATACATCTTTGTAAGCCACCTTGACGCTAGAGTTTTTCACATGGCCTAGCCTATCCTGACTGACACTATGCCTACAGAGAGCACCTAAGTAAGTTTGCCTGGTAGGTCACTGGAAGGGCCAGTTGGGAGCTACGTAGGAAAGTTTGTGCCTGGAAATACAGATTTAGGAAACTATACGCAAATGAGTGAATCCGGAGAAGTGGGTGAGACAAAAGGGAGTTGAAATTGAGGAGGAGGAGGAGCATGAGAAGCCAGGAAACGTCAGTGTTTGATGAACAGAGGAGGAAGAGTGAAAGAAAGCCTGATGAGAGGTGGGCAGCGAGCCTGCACAGCGACATCGGGGAAGCCAGCGAAGGCAGTCACTGCCGGTGCTGCAGAGAGGCCAGTGTGGGAACCCCACAAGATATGGCTGCATTCAAAATGAGCAAGACATTAAGAGCAACTTCAGTGGAGTCACTGAAGTCGAAGTCAGGCTACAGCGAACTGAAGTGTGACGTGAGGAGGTACAGATGGAAAGTCATTTTCTTCCTAAAAGTTTGATCATGAAAGGCAGGAAAGATAAGGTGGCAGGTAGACCGAGGGAGAAGCCGAGTGAAGAGAAATTCATTTGGGTGACTAAGAGAAAGAGCTGAGAAACGTTAGACAGCGAGGAGAAGGAGGCAAAGTAATGGGAGAGATTGAAAATTTGGAAAATAAAGGGTGATTAATGAAGTGAGGCTCTGGAGAAGGCAGAAAGGATTAGAAACAAAAGCCTAAGTAGGGGGGAAGCTCAGGTGGAGAGATCTGCCTCTGAGACGTGAGGAAGGAGATAGGAAAAAGAAGATTCAACTAAATTTGAAAGTAGAGGAAGGGATGCCAAGAAAATGCATGCCTTCTAGATTTTGTTTTCTGAGGGAAACAGAAGGTTGTTCTATTGTTGGCAATATAAATTGTTGGCAATGAAGGCATCATGGATGGGGTTGGAGAGCTGAGACGAGTACAAAGGTTTGGAACAGATGCAACAGGGAATGAAATAAATGAAGAAGAAAAAAATTACAGCCTCAAAGGCCTGGCTGTGATGTGCTATTATGAATTCACAATACAGTTCATTATTAAGCAAATGGCTTTTTGCTTCAGCAATCTCTATCAGCCTAAGAGCAGAAGTAAAGGAAATGGGCAAGTGGACCGGTTCAGAGCTGGAGATTGGCAAGAGGCATGTTCAGAGAAGTGAAGATGTTGGTAAGTGTCAGAGGTGCCAAGTAGACTGAGTACTGGGACTGTTAATCTTGAAAGGTTAGGAGTGACACTGGATAGTAAAGAGCAAATCCGTGAGATAACTTGGGGTTTCAGAAAGATAATCCAAGTCCAAAAGCTACACTGATAGCAAGTTGATGAAGGACAGAAAGGTGATATGCAGTTAAGGAGGGGGTGGCAGGATGTTTTGTGCCCAGAGCTTAGGCAAGAATTCAGGCAGATTATATCAGCAGAGCCTAAGAAGTACTACTGAGTCAGGGTTTGGGCAATGTAGAAGGCAGCACTTTGAATCTGAGCTGACTGGTGGACCTGGAGCCCCAAGGAGAAAACCTCAGTTCTCTAATGATTTAGAAAGCAAAAACAGCTCCACCTTGGATTAGATGAAAAAACTAAGGGCATACTAGAAAATAGTGGGAGTGACCCACAGGATTACACAATTAGGCAACAGAGAGAACTGGTCTCCCTGGGGGTGGATCAGGGAGGACCTGGAAAAAAATGAATATCATAAAAATATCACAGAAGCAAAGTCATCCAATATCATGTGCTTACCTAGTTTACACATAAATATACGATTATAAATAGATACTTTACACAAAATGCCTTTTATCAAGTGCTGGGAACTGTACAGCAAATTAACATTCGTTTATTAATTTAATCCTTACAACTACCCTGTGACACAGATACTGTTCTTAATACTTTTTACAGTGGGGAACATTATAGCTTAGAGAAATTAAGGAACCTGCCCACGGTTAGCAAGTGTGACATCATAAATATTCAAAGTGTATACCCTAAGAATTCCCTGCACTGATATAAAATCGTTTAGAAGAGAAATTCTCCCTTGTGCCCTAGAACCGTGCCTCAGGCACTGGCAGCAAAAGGTGGCAAATGGCAATAAAGTAAAGATAGATCAATCTGCCCTGTGAAGATTGCCTGTATCACCCTAGTGGACCTGGCATGTTTCTGACCTCCCCTCTAAAAACTCTAGAAACAAGAGAAATATTCAGCCTTGAAACCTGTATCACTCAGAATCGTCATCTAAGATTAACTGTAGTTAGTATATTTATTAAATTATTATTAGGCACTTCTGCTTTTAGGAAAAAAAGTATGTATGTTCACTCAAAAACACGTTTACTTGTATCAAATAATGAAGCTCAGCCTATGTTTTCTTACCCTTTCTGTTTTATCTGCACAGAAGAGTCGTGTGTGATGTCTTTTCTGTACCACAATGTAGGTTATTCCTGGCCGGTAATCTTCTTCCAAGCTAATACACGCTTTTCGAATTGCTATTAGTTCTGGCCAAGCTACCTAGGAGTTACAAATGGAATGACATATAATTGAGAACTCACCTAGTAGCTCTCTGATCTCATTTACCCAGAGTGGCAGATAGATGAAAGGAGGCTCTGTCAGACATCTAGAAGCCCCAAAAGGCAACTATGGGATAATGAGAGTACCTGCTTCATTTGTCCCTCCGATACCCCTCCACGGTAATAGATGATCCGTGTGGGTTTGAAGCGTGTGGATTTGTAGAATTGGATCAGCAGCTCTCGAACCATGTTAGTGAGGTCCTGGATTACCTCCTGACTATAGAGGAGCTCCTGGGAGATCTCCTGGCGGGAGGTCTGCACCCGAACAGTGGCACAGTACCGGCTGGGGTGACCATCCATACTGCCAACGACAGCAGCAATGGAAGGCTTCTTCCCGTCCCCTGCAGGAGGGTGCGTGACATCTGCTCCCAGGAAGATGACAGGCTGCTGGAACACTGATGGCCTGCTCGGATTTAAAGACACACTGACACTCAGATATACAGATGAAATGTTTGAGTTTAGCAAGCTCACCAGATACAATCTCAAGGAGAAAAATACCATGCATGCTTCTCTGGTAAATTCTTAAGAGTAGGATTTGGGACTGAGTATTGATTCTTGAAGTATGATCTAGGAGGCACCACAAATCTGGAAATCTCATGTAACTGATACTAAAGATGTAACAGATACTGAAGAATAGGTACCTCCCTGAGGGCAGAGGCTACATTGTATTTTTCTCTCTATATCATCATCCAACAACATGGTTCTAGTACTGAACAATATAACAACAAATGCATATTCCTAACATACATATACATAACATAATAACAGCTTACATGAACTATGTACCAGCCGCTGTGCTAAGCATTTTACATGAACTTGCCTGAGATCACACAGGAAGTGGTAAGGCTTGAATCCAAACCCAGGAAGCCTGACACCAGAGTGTGCACTCTAAGCCACTATGCTATATTGTTTCAGCTGTCTGGGGTAAAATGAAGTGATTTCAGATTTTAGGTTAACTTCCTCTATGGTCTGTATGCCTTATTTACCAATGTTACAGAAAGGATTTAATTACCTCAAAGTTTCATTCAAGGACAAAAATGAGAACTGTGATATGATTGTCCAAGAGTAAGGCACTCAATTTTACCTACTTCTTAAGCATGGCAATGGCTAATACCACAGCCCTAAATTTAACTTTTCAAATCACTTTGGCATAAAACCATTTTAGAGTTAACAAGTCAGATATTATCTCGGTCAGTAAGAAAACAAGATGAACCCAGAAAGGCCCATACCAAGACACATCAAAATTAAAATGCAAAAAGTTAAAGACAAAGAGAGAATCTTAAAAGCTCAGCTGGTTAGAGCATCATCCCAATATGCCAAGGTTACAGGTTTGAGCCCCAGTCAGGACACATCTAAGGATCAACCAATGAATGCAGAAATAAGTGGAGCAACAAATCAATCTCTCTCTCCTCCTTCTCTCTCTAAAATAAATAAATAAATAAATAAATAAATAAATAAATAAATTTTAAAAATAAAAAATGATTATAAAAAAGAAACCTGAAAAAAAGGAAAAAGAAATAGAGATTCATATTTGAGGTTTGTGTGCTTTACTATAAATTAAATATTAGATCTCAGTTTAAAAAGTGGGGGAAAACGGAGTTCAGAATCTTACCTTTGATGAGGTACAAGCACGTTGTTAATTCCTCCAAGCTTTGCATTTATCTTCAGGCAAAGGTTGGAAAGGGTCTGGGGTGAGGTCTTCACTACATTTTTTACCTGGACACACTGCGTGGCCATACCCAAGAGGGTATCTCCAACACGTTTCACCTCCGCTACAAAAATAATTGATTGATTTTTAAAAATGTTTAAATATGCTCTTAATTACTCAGAGTAGAGGGGAAAACGCCACAGGCTGACATTTACAGAGTACCTATTGTATATCACACACGGTGCTAGATGCTTTTCATGTGTGGTGTTATCATTTGCTAAACCCCCAGGGAAATTTTTTTCCCAGTTTGGATAAGCTATTCCCCACACCTTTCTTCCCTTCTGAAGGCCTTTCAGCTAGCCTGCTTTCTTTATTCTAGGATGGTGCCTGCCACTGCTCACTCAGTCCCTTGAGGTTCCTTTTCCCACAGGGCTGACCTGGCAAAGGAATAAATCTGCTCCCTGGCCCCTCCCTCTTGTTACACACACACCAGCCCTTTGAATTTTTTGCTCCCCCTGCCCCCCCCCTTTTTTCTCTCTAAACATTATAGGTAAACTGAAGGTAACAAAAGAAGCAAATACAGGGAAGGCTGAACACATTTTATAAAGTTTAAACAGCTGGTCTATAGGTCCCAAATCCTTTACTTAGATAATAGCTGAAAGAACTTTGTATTCTTAGAATAGATACAAACTAAACAGCTCCTTTTCTGGAGTGGTAGGCTCTGCTCCTCTCCTCCACTGTGATATTCCTAAGTGTTTCTAACCAACATTCCGTTCTCCCTGCATTGGGGGCTATGATAGAATTTCACTGTACACTCCAGCCCTCACTTCCACTGCATTTCCTGGCCCTGTTCCCATTTCCCTCACACAGGCTGGGTGGGCCAACAGCTGGCTGTGGCCAAAAAGGTGCAGATGTTAATAACTCTCCAGAGTTCTCTTTTTCTCTCTGCTATGGAGCCAGCAACATTCCAAACAGTGACTGCTCTGCCAACCTGGGTTACAGAGTGAAAATGATATGACGATATGGAGCAGAGGCTGCAGTCTGCCCTCAGTGGACACATAGCAGGAGCAAAAAGCAAAACTTTGCCACTTAGAGCCCCTGAGAGTTTGGGGTTGTTTGTGATTGCAGCATAACCTAGCTTACCCTGACTGTTAAACCTACTATTAAAATCATCCTTCATTCAACATTAAAGGGGTCCATACCATATACTGGCGTCTTCCCAGGCAAGATCACCACTATTAGCTGTAGGCCCACATATGTCATTTTCAGATGTTTAAACATGGGCTCCACGCTGTCAGCACCTTGTGCATACTTGCAGAAACATGGCTGACCCTGGATGGGCATTCCTGCATCCTTAGAGATTTTACGGAGCTGGTCAGTGAAACTCCTGTTAAAACAGAACCAGTGGCACAGTGCTTTCATTTCAGAGTACATTCTTAGCATTTATTTCCCTCTATGATACCTCTTTCAGTTCTGCAAATTCTTAGCCCAAATCAGACATAAACAAATAAACAACAACAAAAATCTTTAGCTGGTTGGGGAAAAAAAAACTGGCAGTTGGATCACTGCAATGCAGAAGAATCTGTGGTATTAAACTATCAGATTATTGTTTTGAATTTTTAAATAATTATGCCCCAGTTAGGCCCCAGAGACTAGGATAACATTCTTGTCCAAAGAATTTTTTTTTTTTTTTTAAACATTCAAGTCAGTAATTCTGGACTGAAGAACGGCAAAGTGAAAATTTCAGGTACTGCGTATTCTGGTAAGCCTGCTAGGAGAACGGGTGGGTAAGCTTTTGTAAGCCTGTATTCAATTGAGAACACAGATATACACTTTTATGCAATCAGTGCATTTAGGATGACATTCAAACTAGTAACAGATTTGAATCGACACAAGGTCAAAATAATCATCACTTCAATGAAGAAAAAACTCATGACATTTTAAACTTTAGATTTAAGAAGTTACTTCAATCTATGTATAAAGATTTCGGAATAATTTCTTTTGTGCATTTGCCAATATTTTGTAGGATTCCTTTCTTTCATCCCAGTTCCCTTTTCCTGCCTTGATTTTTTCCCACCCTTCTCACTAATTTCCTTTGTATAGACACCTGTATGTGTAAGACATGAATCAGTGATCTTAGTCAGTGACCTTTCGGTAAAACATGCTTGCTAGTAAATTAGAATGATTAAAAAAGGAACTCATTTATATCTTAGCTGAAAAGATACAATTAATACCAAAGGAAGTTTCGCTCAGAACCCAAGAATTTGCCAACCAGCACGGCTTCAGCCTTGTTCGTCAAAGATTTCTCCTCTAAATGTAAGGAAGCTGAGTCAGATTCTTAATGTAATTCCCAAACTGGCAAATTACTATAATACAAGGTATTTTTCCTATAGCCAGATGGTGCCACTATAGGAGTCAGGGATTTAGTGCCAGTGCACACAGCACATTCACATAAAGATGGTGTTTTCATATCTGGAAGGGATATTACTAAGCTGAAAATATGAAGATACTCACTTTAGTAAATCTTCCCTACATTGTTTCTGAGGCGCAAAACAAGCAACTGCCCAAACTTTAATTTCAATGCCAGCATAAAACTGCTTTCCTCGCATGTCCCAGACACCCTGGTTGGGTGTGGCTACTGTTTTATTCTTTAAAACAAAACAAAACAAAAAAAGAAACAAAAGAAAAGAGAAAAGACATTACAATCTAAGGCCATTTGAATATTGATGAGGAGATCAACAGAACTCTATTTGGTATTAGCCAAAAAGACAAAGAGCAATAATAAGCAACACTATGGGTAAATTCACTGTGGTTTGTAGAAAAGGTCCTCAATTATTCTTTTTGACTGGTCATTGGAAGGAGGTTGCTGAATAAAATAAAAAGCTTACCCGACCTCCGTACTGTAGCATTGGTGCTGGAAGTACCCTGCCTGTGAGCTCTGTCATTTCATTGTGGACAACAATACCAAATTCTTTAAGGTATGGATCAGGTCCACCCACCATGCTGTTGCTCTTCACCTAAAGAACAGGAAAGCCTGCATATATAAAAACCAAAGAGTAACTGTGTCCCATCTGGAGCTTTCTGCTGCTTTGTGTGTTTTTTTCATCTTAAAGCTTGGTATATCGTAAAGACCGTGCCTTACTGACCAGTCTACTGATTTCTTCCTGTCTGTCAGGAGCAGATCTTGCTGTGGCTTTGATCATCGTAGACGTCTGATTGTCTGTGAGTTTCTTTATACACCGCTGTCCTGCCACTATATTACAGACCTGCCAAGGGGCAAAGAGAAATTCATCTGTGTAATGGGCTCCTGTATCTTAAGCCTTTGCCAAACTGTATCTTACATCTTTCAATTCCTCCCCCTCCCTATCCCCCAAAATGAAAATTTTGTTGCATAGTTATCCGTCCAAAATATTTTAGAAGTTAATACTAAATTCTACCCCTTGCTTAGATACAACTTATTTTATTAACTCATTCAAGAAATTGGCAGACGGGCCAAAGAAAGTTTAGCTTACCTCAAGTGGCAAGTATGTATGCTTTTGCTCTTGTCCCACTTGGAGACAGGGAAGATGGGGATATTTCAGCTGCAGACTATACTTTTGCTTAAAATATTGAGCTACAGTACATTCCATAGCTTGACCATTTTCTAGCTGTAAAGGAAAACTACAGGAGACAACATCTTTTTAGAAATGTCAAGTTCTTTTTTCTGAAACAAAGTCTACTAACATTTTCTACCTCCGTCAGTCACTTCAAAACAAAGGTCAAACTTTATTTGAACATTTTCACCCAAGTCATTTTAGTATTTAATTAGAACAGTGATTACACTGGAATTTTCTGTTTTTTAAAGCTAGGATGAGAAAAAAATTTTAATTAAAGTTGAAAAATAACCTAAAACAAGAAGCAGCTACAGAATCAGAAATTACACAGACTCACTAGAGGTCAGTTTAACACCTACAGCTACAATCTTGTGTTGGCTTCATGTAGATAGGAATTTTGTTTGCTTAAGAGAATGTTTTTGTAAAATGACTGTAGCATAGTGATGGGGCCCACATTTTCAGATCCCCAAAATAGGATAAATATATGTGGGTTTGGAGACAAATGTATGTGGAAATTGAGACTATGCTAGGATATTTGGTATAAACTGGAAAGCATGATTTAAGAGACTCCCTATTTGGCTCTTCCAGTGGGCAAATTATCTCAAATGCTTGGCATAATATTAACTTTAATCTTGCTTTCTTAATTGTTATAGCCCCACAAAGTAACAATGCAGTGAGGATCATCTATGTAACACTCATGTAACTCTCCTGGTCTGAATTCAGAACTTCAGGTTATAAGCAAGCTGACCACTGATCACTGCAGTGCAATTAGGCATCTATGTCAAAGGAGGGAATCATTTGTTAAGCCCCATATAGATCCAGGGATGTTTATATTTCTGGATTAAAATCAGTGCACTTATGCCCTGGCTGGTGTGGCTCAGTGGTTAGAGCGTCAGCCTGCACACTGAAGGGTCGTGGGTTCGATTCTGGGTCAAGGGCATGTACCTGGGTTGCAGGTTCATTCCTAGGCACGTGCAGGAGGCAACCAATTGATGTGTCTCTCTCACATCGATGTTTCTCTCTCCTTCCCTCTCCCTCCTCCCTCCCTTCCACTCTCTCTAAAAATCAATGGAAAAAAATGTCCTTGGGTGAGGATTCTAAATAAATGAATAAATAAACAAAGAGCACTTTGATATCTATTTTCTCAATAGACATAGTTCACTGTGGATTAGAATTGAGTGATTAGAAAATGAGATTGGGGAAGTGAAAATGAGTGTGCTGCTGCAAGCATGCCATACACACTGACAGGTGGAAGTGACAGCTAGCTACAAAAGGAGGGGGAAAACCCGCACAACTTTGTAAACTGAAACCAAGTTTCAGCTATGACCTGCGCAGAAACCTTTTAATGGGTCCATGATATATATCTTCCCATGACAGCCTCATATGACTTAGAGGCCTTAACAGACTCATTGGACCATGCATTGAGAATTACAACAGTGTAATAAATGACGTTATAATGAAGCCTCCGCATCATTATGTAAAAAGTTGAGCTACGCTTAGCATACTCTGTTTAGGAGGCGAAATGAATTAAAGGCAGGAAATATATTTTACAAATATCTATCAAAAAAAATTTAAAACATATTTTAAAGCTTTGGTGCTTAAACGTGAAGATCTTGGTGATTTTGAAAAAAATCACAATATGAGTTACCAATTCGTCAAATGATTATAGTAGCTTCCTGTTACCAAAAATATAATGCTATCACTTTAGATGTGGTTAACATACGTTTGATGACTGGCTGGCCGTCTGGTCACATTACAAACTCGATATTTTCGTTTCATCTGTCCACAGTGAGTCACCTCTACTTTAAGACCTGAAGTTGGAAAAAAAGCTAAAACATCAGTATTAATTAAAATCATAGTGATAAAAACAGATTCAAATATTTTCAAAAAGGTATGCCATTGTACAGGACAAAAGTTGCAAGGGTATGAGAACAATTTCATCGTGTATAGGCAAAACGCCTCAGCTAAGCAGAAAACACTAAAACCCAGATGGCTTAAGATTTGTAGTCACTTTTTATTACTTCAATACATAATTACCAAGCGTCAATTATGTTCTGGTGCAGATGAAGTTTATATTCTCATGAGAGAAGACAGGTAGCAACAAGCAAAGAAAGAAAAGAAATTCCAAAAGGAAAATAAATGAACTTGTGTTAGTTTATTAAAATGGAAATTTTTAAGTAAGGGTAACAGTTAGTAAATGTCTGGTGCGTGCCAGGTACTATGCCGGAAGCTTTATACAACTAATTGCATTTAATTCTCATAACAATCTTACAAGATACATATTATTATCTTTGCTTTAGAGATGGAATAATCTAAGGCTCACAGTGGTTAAGCAATTTGCCCAAGGTCGCACTGGGAGCACTACCTGGGATGGGCCGGAGGCTCAGGTGAGTCTGACTCCAAGACCATGCATGGCCCTGGCACTGAGCTGAACAGCCTCTCCACAGCCGTGCTAATGCAAATACTCACCTCTGATTTCTTTGGTAAACTTGACACGCTGGGAGTCTGTCAGAGGTTTGGTTTGTTCGTTGATGTTCTGGATGTCTAAAACCTCACACATGAACTCAATGATAGGCTGGGCCCGGTAGAAAGCAGTTGCAGATACTAATGAACAGAGAGGAAGGGTACTTAGCCTCAGGGAAAGGGGCGGGACCAGGAACACCAGCCAGAAGACTAAAGGGTAAACAGGGTTACATCCTACCATCAATATTCAGCATCATATTCCACATGGCAGGTCTCACAGACTGATGGAAGCCAAACCAAACCTCCCTGCCCCCTCCCAGAGGGTGGTAGTAACCTTCCGGAGGGGAGAAAAAGGAGCGGCCCACCGGAGTGTACCTGAAGGAGTAAGGAGAGTTTGTTTGCGTGTTTCACAATAAGAACTTGAAAAGTCTCTCATTTTACTCAGCTTTGTAAACTGAAACCAAGTTTAAACTATGACTTTATAAAGGAAACTTTTAAAAAATATATACCTTTTTTATTTTTTAATATATGTTTTTTTATTTCAGAGAGAGAGGAAGAGAGAAAAAGAGAGATAGAAACATCAACAATGAGAGAGAGTCAGTGACTGGCTGCCTACTGCATGGCCCCTCACTGGGGATTGAGCCCGCAACCCGGGCATGTGCCCTGACTGGGAATTGAACCACAATCTCCTGGATCCTAGGTCGATGCTCAACCGCTGAGCCGCGCCCGGCCGGGCCAAAAACTTTCAATGGCTCTAATGCAAACTATCAAAAAAGGGTGTGACATCTATGGCAAAGAATTCAAACTAAGGTACTAACCTCATGGAGGGAAGGTGTCTTGTGATAACATCAAGTGCTTGTACCGAGTCATCTGGGACTTCATTCAAGTGCCCGGCTAAAGCTTCTAAAAGCAACTGAAGGCTCACAACTGACACCCACTGAACAGACACTTTAAAGGTTTGGTCCTTACCCTCACCTGGAAGGGTAACTTCCATGTCAACCTAAGGAAAAGTACATATACATGCATATTTACAAAGGCTGAAAGATCCCAGAAATACTCAGTACAGTATACACATAAAGACATTTTACACTTCTGCAATTGCCAAACATTGGAAACAACCTACATGTCCATCAATAGGTGAATAATTTAATATCAAACATGATGCAATGGTTTAAGGTAGACGCTACAAAATGTCTTGACCTCAAAAACATTATGCTTAGGTGAAACAAGCCAGACACAAAATGAAAACATTGTATGATTCCACTTAGATGAAGTACCTAGAATAGTTAAATTCATAGAGACAGGAAGTAGAATAGTGGTTACCAGGGGCCGGGGGAGGAGGAAATGGGGAGTTATTGTTTAATGGGTACAGAGTTTCAGTTTTGGAATGATGAAAAAATTCTAGACATGGATAGTGGGCGATGGCTACACAACAATGTGAATACACTTAATGCCACAGAACTGTACACTTAAAAATGGTTAAAAGAGGTGCCCGGAACAACAAAGTGCGAAAGAAGGAGTCGGAGCCTCAGGGGCTCCTAGCAACGGGCCGGGTGATGTTGCATTGGATATTATAATTACAAAAGTAGTCTGTGTTTTTAGAACAAGATGCCATTTGAACTTAAGGAAGATTGCTTTGGAGGCAGCAAATGTAATTTATAAGCATGATGTTGGAAAAGTATTAATGAAACTTAGAAAACCTAGAATTCCAGCTACAATTTGGTCCTCAGGAAAAATTATTTGTGAGCAACAAGTGAAGCAGCAGCTAAATTTGGTGCCAGATCTTTAGCCCACAGTTTCCAGAAACTAGGTTTTCAGGTGATATTTACAGATTTTAAAGTTGTTAACATTTTAGCAGTGTGTAACATGCCATTCGAAATCCGCTTGCCAGAATTCACAAAGAACAACAGACCTCGTGCCAGTTATGAACCTGAACTTCATCCTGCTATGTGCTATCGGATAAAGTCTCTAAGAGCTACATTACAGATTTTTTCAACAGGAAGTATCACAGTGACAGGGCCCAATGTAAAGTCTGTTGCTATTGCTGTGGAACAGATTTACCCATTTATGTTTGAAAGCAGGAGATTTTATAATTCATCACTTAATTGGTTAGAATCCCTAACTGAGCACCTTTTAAAACCTGCTGCACACTGGACTCCAAACAAAAGGAAAACTGGACCACGGCTACAGTGTAAGCTCCAGTCCCTTTGGATTTTATTTCAAACTTTGCTGTAATATAAAAAGGATGTTTACAAGACATGACATTGGTGCTTTTACAGAAGGACATTCTATTTATTTTCGCAGTAATTCTCAGGTCCCCACAAGCAGAGCTGTCAGTGTGCACGACCTTAAATTGTTTTGTTGTTATTTTTTCCAATTTGAGCTAATGTGTTTTATTTGTGAATAGTCTTTTACATTTTTGTATGTTGAATATGGGCACCAAAGAACCTATAAAAGTTATCTTTTTTAATTAAATGTGAACAAATAAAAGTTTGGAAAAGGTCTCTCTTCATATCCATTCTATAACTTTTATTCCCCATCTTCTATTTTAATAAAAGTTGTATTCATATAAATTTGAAAAAGTTAAGAAAAATGGTTAAAGCAGTAAATTTTATGTTATATATACTTTACCACAATAAAACATTTTTTAATTAAAAAAATAATAAGGTAGATTTAAATGTACAGAAATGACAAGATCTCCCAGACATACTGTTAAATGAAAAAATATACCAGAACAATATACAAACAAATAAGAATGTACACATATAAACGCACAAATAGCTAATGCGCACAAAAACATCTGGAAGGATACATACCAAACTACTAGCTTCCTCTGAAAAGGAAAACGGGATTGAGGACAGGTGGCGAGGCAGGAAACCACATCCTTTCTAGGCTAAGTAATTTTATAATGAGTAGACATTTATGTATTGCTTTTTATTTATATTTTTAAAAATAAATGTTCAAAAAAGTTATTGCGGTATTAGGAATGTTTTCGTAAGTGGGTGTTACATAACATTCTATAATTGATAAAAACGCCACTGTTCAGATTCAGGTAGCAATTTAAACAATGTGAAAAATGTGGAATACGTGGTAAAGATGACATAATCAACCTAAATTCTAATACGCATCTCACCTTCAATTATCAATTAGCTAAGGGACAAGAGAATATGAACAGAAAAACCTCTCATCACGGTGAGAAACAGCTAAGAACTGAATTATTACTAGAAAAGGAAACATTGTTGTCCTATGCAATTATTACTAAATTAAACCGCAGTCCTAGTAAATATTTCAGGCTGTCAGCACTCACCCTATCCCGTCCAATTGGCAGTGGATGTGCTGTGTACATGTTCCTTTTGCCATCATAGCCAGGCTGCCGATCACCAAATATCTGCATCTTGAAGTGCCGCACCATTGTGTCTACCACCTCCCTTAGCAGTAATGGAGACAGTGGAGGTTAGCTTTGAAAAACGCCGAACCGTACAGAGACTATCATCATACCTGAATCGTCTAAACTCGGTTCAGAAGCCATTGGAAAAAGTAAGAGTTAGAGAGACCACTGATTTAACTAATTAAAAAAATAGTTAACTAAAGAAAGGTAGCAACAAGTAAACAAAAGCAACTGGGAGATGTTAACAGGAGGGAGGAGTGAAAGAGAGAGAACACTTATGACAAAGTCTCACACCCCTGCTTTCCCAATTCCTCTCCTATGATAAACAGCCTTATCAGAAAGAATAAGCTCCCGTAGGTATCTCAGCGTGGCATGTTCATAATTGAACAATGATAAGTTTGTTATCAAGTATACATCCTCAGAAATCTGAGGGTCAACAAATCTAAGATGTATCATCCTCAAACGGATAAGTCAACCCCTCTGACTAATGCCGGCCTGTTTTATTCCAAAGTGCTCCCGAACCAGGTGGAGAAGGGAGTGTTGTGAAATATCCTCATTCCATAAAGGTTACCAACGTCGTTTCTTTCCTTTTAGAAGGCAAGCCTTTCTCTCACTGAGGCGTGCATAGCTTGGCTTAAGTGTTCTTGCCCATACACCAGGTCACGCTGTGCAGGCCCTGAAATAAACGCAGCGGCAGGGGAGCTAGAGCATGCGGTTCAGGACAGAGCCCGGGAGAGTTTGGAATGCTGGAGTCAATGAAAGGCCGCCGCGTCTTACCCATCTTAGCGAGAGCCAGAGCGTTCTTAGAAAAGCGAGAACCTTAATATTAAAGACTACTTGACTATCGAAGCGTGGAAACAAAGGAAAGGAAAGTGGGTGTCCTCAGCACCCTGTAAGAATATCTGCTACAGGGCTATGTCTTCACGCTTGGTGAATTCCCACCATACAGACCACAACCCTTACGTCGTCTTGGATAATGCTGGAATTAAACAGAGCTTCTCTCTCAGCTTACTTTTTGCAATACTCCAAGACTTAATAATAAAATTTGAATTTCCAGACAGTTCTTTTTCCCATAGACACGAATGTCTTCACCGGCTTTTATAAATCTCTGCTGCCCTTGGACAAGGAAAGGGGGCCCTTTCCTCTTTTTGCAATTAGTATTTACTGCCGGAACAACGATGTATCCAGCACTCTGCTGGAATCTGTGGAGGATTGCCAAGGGTGACACAGCAAAGGAACTTATCATCTTAAGAGAAAAAACGAAGCCTACACATTGAAAGGGTGAGAGAACAGTATGATACACAACAAATAGTTATGTGCATTTCTATAGAAGTCCACTCTTTCTAATCCTTACCTGTTGACTCTACGAGGCCTTTTTTCTGGTTTAATGTCCACATCGTAGTGATACACATCTATTTTAGGAATCTGAACCTGAAAATGATTGGCTAACAGTCGAATGGGTTTTCCGACAGTTCCGAGGCCAGGGCGGCGAGGAGGCTGGAACAGGCTGGTTGGAGGTCCTGAAGAGATTGAAAGACATCCCATGTGCTAATCGGTCCTGAAGGATAGTATTTCCTCCCTGATGATGATGAGGATGATGAGGATAGCTACAGCTACTGAGATATCATTATTCACTAAACATGCTATGATATATAAAGAGCTTGAGGTGTCTTCTGACCTAAGGTTCTCTATATTTCTAATATTTTACCATGTTGCTGTTATTTTGAATATGAGGAGCATCAAAATTAGATTATGTGATGCACTCTCAGATGTCAGCTGCTGCAGAAAACCTTTTATGAGCATAAGTAGATCTATAGACAGGCTCACACAATTATATGTATTTTTAAGTAAAAATCTCTAGACTCTGGGGGCCATCATCATGATCCATTAATCTTCCACAAATTAGCCTGCATTATCATAGTTTGTATGGAAGGAGATTAAACAGCAGCTATATTTATCAATTTACTTACTAATTTAGATAGTGAAACAATACCAATAATGCTAAACTTTCCTGTTTATAACCTGATATTTTTAGAATCTGGACAATCTGATATTTCCTGATCATACAGTCTAGTTTACTTATTTAACAAACATTTATTCATTTATTACATGTCTATCTGCACTGTGGACTCAGGAAAAAGACAGCCTCTGCCTTCAAGAACTCATAGTAGTTCTCTATCCAGGGAAGATTTTGTCCCTCAGGAAACATTTGACAAATGTCTACAGATATTTTTAGTTGTCATACTTGGGGGGTGTTACTGACATGTAGTGGGTCTGGGAAAACACAGTCTGAGAAATATTTGTCTACAAAAAACCTTACTCCTTTTTGATGATAATGTCAGCTAGACACTGGCCTAAAAAATATACATCTTTTCTGCTATGAATAGGTGTTCAGTAAAGTGGGCTAGGATTACAATGGAAAGTTACAACAGAAAGTTACAACAGGTTCTTTTGTTGCAATGGCATTACGCCAAGAACAAAGACAATTCACTGAGGAAAGAAAACTTTGATGCAAGAAGCTGTCTGGTCCAACATCACTTAGGAACATCAAAGCAAACACTTGAATGAAATACATGTTGACAGATCACCATATACTAACTCTTCAAGGACTGAAATCTTTTCACATATTAAATTCATTGTTCACTCATCCCCTAAATTCTACTCATCCTTGAAAACTCAGGTCAGGTGTGACCTCCTTGGAAAGCCTTGAGAATATTCCAGCCTGGAGGATGCATCCTCTGTGTTCCCAAGACCTTCTGTGTAACAGAGCACTTAATACAAGTACATAGAAACAACCTGTTAAATTACTCTGTCTCCTCCACTAGACTGTAAACTGAGAAGATGTGGACCTCCAGTTCATTGTTACCTCCTCAAGACCTAATTCAATGACCAGCACATCATAGGAATTCAATAAACGTTGAACTGACCACTACCAACAATCCTTGTAGCAGTTCCAAATAGAAACTAAACAGAAACCCAGTCATTCCTAAAACCCAATTATTTTTTCATCAAAGCAAAAGAACATAGTTTATACTAAAAATATTATTATTGCTTGGAGTTGAGTTGCACTTCTGGTGTACAAGGGGGATCTATTCTGGGGGTGACAAGATCGTTACAAACAAGGTAAGAGGTAAATAATAAATAATATCAGAGGTGATAGTCACACTGACTCAAATCATACAGGTAAGCCAGCCCTGCATATCGCAACATACACTTAAGCAATAGTTTTATCCTGAAGTTGGACAAAATCCAGCTTGATGATAGAAATTTAGAAACAGAAATTCAGGTCAAATTACCTACCCAAGGACATATGACTTTGATTTTAAATTGTGACTAGAATCCAGGTCTCCTAACTTCCAGTCCAATGCCTTTTCTTCCCCAATATACTTCACAATCCTATGGTATCTCTACCTCTCTAAACTCCTTGATACCAAAGGGACGGAGGCAGAGGAAATGAAAGAGAAGGGATTAAGAAGTAGAGAAAAGCAAATAGCATGTTTATTTTCTTTGGCAAGAAAGAAAAGTCAGAAGGTAAGCCATCATTTCTTTTAATAAGTTTAGAAGATTTATTTAGAAAACTACATTCTAAAATTTTCCATTCCAAAAGCTGGTTTCTTTGAATTTAGCAAACTACTTATGAAGAAAAAGCCCACTGGCTAAAGCTGGGGCACCAAACTACCTGGGTTTCTATCCCGGTTTACTACTCTCTAACTGCATGACCTTGGGCCAGTTTCTGAGCCTCTCTGTGCCTCAGTTTCCTTATCTATAAAGTGGGGAGTATGTGGTAATCATAGCATCTATCTCTTAAGGCTATTCTGAGGATCCGATGAGATAATGTATATAAAAGGCTTAACACAGTGTCTCATAATAATAATAAGTGCTCAATAAATGTTAGTAGGTTGTACCTGCATAAATACTACAGTGCTCAAAGGTCCCTGGGCTTTATATTGGGGGCGTCCCAAAAAATTGGTGATATCAGAAACTTACACCTTCCAAAAAGGAAACAAAGATGACAACATAGATTGAATGAAGTCAGCTTTAAATGAAAAGGAGGGCATTAGATAGCAGTCAGATGACCCAGACTCCTCCTCATTTCACCACTCAGCCTTGAGACCTGATAAAGTCAGTTAAGCTCTCTGCACCTCTTTTCTCATCTGTAAAATGGGGATAATGCCTGCCTTGCCCACTCACAGAGGATCAAATGAGCTCAGAGCTGTGCAAGCACTTTCCAAACTGTGAAGCATGGTAAAAACAAAAGTTATCACTACTATAACCAAAAATAAATGGTATTCTAATTAAATATATTTCCAAATTATGATAGTCAGAAACTGAAATGGGGTGAGGGAGGGCAGAGCAAGACTAAGATTGTCTTAGTCTTGACAATGATTTTTCAAGGGAGGAGGGCCCGAAGCTCTAGATGGGTGTGCTTTAACCAAGAAGCAGAAAAGCTTCTCTAGGTTCTAAAACAACCTGGGCAAAATATCCCACAAGACTATCAACTCCCTTTGCTCTGATTCTATGCTTGGCATGTAGCTTCTTGTTATGAATTTGGTTTCCAAGGTACTGTGACACCAAAAAAGGAGTTTGCTAGAGAACAGACAAGAAAATATTCCAGTCAACAGAAAAGATCTACGTGGCATTTTGGCTTATTTATTAGCATCTTATAAATGTGGTTAGTGAGGGTTAATTTTCTACAATTCTGGGTGAACCGATAAGTCCTCAAATCTGCAAAAGCTAAAATCAAACAAAGGAACAAACAAAAAATCTCTGGGACATTCCTAACATGACCAGGTTGATCATTTCTGCAAAATTCAGTTTGTGCACACAGTTATAGCCTCTTTCAGTACCACCTCATAAATGCAACAGTTGCTTCAATTATGAGTTACTAACAGGGAAGGGTGGGAAGAAACATTTTAAGTATTTATAATGCACTGCTCTTTACAATAGGACTTCTCACACACATTATCTCATTTCATTCTCACAACAATCTCGCAGCACATAATTATTATTACTTCATTTCATAGATGAGGAAATGAAACTTCAAAGGAATTCGGTAACTTGCCCAAGGTTATACAACTATTAAATTACTAGATTGGATTTGAACAGAAGTCTGTCACGTTCCTAAAGACTTGATCATGCCTTTAGCTGGGGGCTATAGCTGAAGTAACCTAGCATCATACTCACACTGAGGTTTATCAAATACTATTAATGTGACTAGAGCAATTTATTTTTAAAAGGCATATAAAATTTTATTATTAAGGCCTTTTAAAAAATGGTTTAAGCAGCAAATTATGGTAGGATTAAGTCATTCAGTGACAAGAACAAGTTCTAAGTAAAAACCCTGCAAAGTTTCCAAACTCAAACGGTAAAGTGAATTTTCTGCGCACTAAAAAATGAGATGCTCTACAACTAAGTCCACTCTGTAGACAAGGTTTGATATTAAAGTTAATTCTATCACAGCCCCTAAAACCTGCCCTACTTAGCCAAAGCATTAGAGACCGGTTGGGGCTGGAGGTCGGAGCACCAGGCTCCAAGGGACAGGGCACTTCTCACAACTGGGAACGGTTCCTCTGATTAGGGCAGAGTGGGGGAAGGAAACCGGAGGCCGTTCATAATGATAGGAAATTACAATTTCCAAAGCACTTTCTTCTTCATTTGATCCTCATAACCACTCATAGCTCAGTTAAAAGAGAACTCAGGGCATTAAAGCCTGCGCTGAGGGTGGCTGGCTGCTAACTCCTCTGTCACTAAGGGGTTAGCCCAGGCGACTCTGGGGCTGTCACACAGACTGACAGAGGCACAGGACCACAGTCTCCGAGACTTCAGGGCCTTCAAGAAAGGCTGCGCACTTTGCCCCTTGGCCTTCGGGGGCAAGGGGCATTCCTTATCTGAGGGCTCTGGACCTGTGCAAAGAAAAATAGGACTGCAGCCCCAAACCAAGAATACCCCTGGTGGTAGGTGGGGGACCTTCCCGGGCCGGGCCAGGCCAGGCCTCCGTAGCGCACCAGGCACAGGTAGTCTCTTCGGAGGCCCAAACTGGCCCCGTCTCAATCACCTCCCAGAGGTTGGGCCAGGTCTCCCCTCTACCTGGGGACGCGGGCCACCTTCCTGGGCCTCCCTCCCTTAGACCTCGAGATCTGGCTCCCGTCTCCAAGCCGGGGCGCGGTGCCCGCCCCCGGAGGCCCGGGTCAGCTCCCTCCGCCTCGTGCAGTCCCGCTCCCCCGGGCCAGAC